AATTATGTTAACCAATTAAATAATAATACAGAAGAATAAGTAGAAGAGAAGAACAGAGAAGAARTCAAAGATGGAAGAAGGAAAAGGAAGACCCACTTGGAAGACACAAAGGAAGTCAACGAGAGAGACAATAACACCTGTCTCCAAGTTTTATTTGTTTTTAATCTTTAATCTTTACTTTTTTTTCCTACTTTCTATTACCCTCCCACTTTCTGCCCCCCTCCACCACTTTCCCCCCTTCCCCCCATTCTCCCCTCTCTATTTTTCCCCTCTCCCCTCTACTTTCTATTTCTAGAAGACTTTGTAACATAAAAGAAACTTTCAATAAAGATTATTAAAAAAAAAACAATGCTTCTGGAATCTTTGGCAATCTCAAAAGAGAGAGATTATAAAGTCCTGTAGATCTCATTGTTTCAGCAGGTGATGTTTCGCAGGTGCACAGCATAGGACAAACAATATGCGGGCTGGATTTGTTAATCATCCATTTATCCCCAGAATAATACTAGCGTGCCTTGAAAAAAGAGCCACCTTCACAAACAAAAAACACCACAGATTCACAACCTATGCGAAACAATGTAATTAAAACAGGCTGTTTTGGAATTCGCTCCCTACATAAATCATTTAAATAAACTTGCCTTAAACAAAAGCACCTTGGGTTTAAAGATCAGACTAAAGGCCTATCTGGTCCAGCACTCAAACAAATGGAAAGTTCATAACTTTGACTAAAGGGTGACACCATGTTCCTGTCTGCCGCCTCTAATAAATTGCTATCATGAGTAACAGTCATGAGACTTTGTATCTTTCATGAACAAGATGCATTTCTTTTTAAAGCCATCCAAATAAGCTGCCATCCATACATCTTACAGTCAATGCCACAATGTAAGAAGAAATGCTTCTTTTGACTGCCCTGAACTTCTCGCCATTTGGCGCCACTGGCTCACCCTCCCTTCTAGCATTATGAAATAGGGAGAAAAACTTCTGATTTATCTACTTTTTCCATACCATGCAGGAGTCTAAGTGTTGCATTTCCTCATAGGAAAGGGTCCTGTCTTTCAGATTACTGGCTCGAGTCCAGCCCAGTTCCCTGAAAGAGAGGGGTCTTGGAAAAAGAAGGTTTCCTTTGCTCATGGCAATATGGTGGCAGACCTTGCTTGTTGATATCCGACCAGCCAACAGGAAGCAGGAACTACACAAGTCTCCATTTTGATCCTGTGAGACTGTTCATGTCTATCATTACATCTCAGCTGACTTTTCCACAGCTCACGTTCCAGAGCTGGGATCAACAAGCATTGAGACAGAGTTACCCATGGGGATATTATATAGCCTGTAACTGGAATTCCCAGCCATTGTGCTCACCTTGGCCCAGGATCAGCCTTTCATTCAAAACCGCTTTTCACACTTTGTCACATATACGTTCTCACTGTTACACAAACAAAGGAAATGACACGGTGCTGGGAAAATTGAAACCTATGTTATTCTTGCAATTCACAAGAGGGCTGAGCACATCAAAAGCAAATTGCTGGGTTGAACTAGTGAAAGATTTCTAACTGTATAGAGCTTTTGACAAAGAGTTGCATTTAATCGTTTCGGCAAATCCAGAGGCATATAGAACCAAGAGCTGGCTACTTACAGGACAAAGCAGACCCTCATAACCCTTGTAAGGGCCCTTCCAGGCAGCCATATAACTCAGAATATCAAGGCAGAAAATCCCACAATATCTGCTTTGAGCTGGGTTATCTGAGTTCACACTGCCATATCTTCCAGTTCAAAACAGACAATGTGGGATTTCATTCAGCTGTGTGGAAGGGGCCTAAGAGAGACCCAATACATTTGTTAGTATTTTCTTTTGAATTATTCATTAATTACACCAAACAATCCTCATCTCACAGGCTTTTAGAGCAGGGGTGGGTAATGTAGGCAGCTGCAAGGACATTTTAAAGGATTTTACCTTTTTATTATTCATTAGTACCATGGATGTTTTAATGTTTTTGTATTTTAAATTGTATTGAAATACTTTTAATGTGAGCTGCTTTGAGTCTTCTTTGTAGAGAGAAATAAGCATAACATAATAAATTTTATGCCTTGGGACTCTCCATGGTCCACATGGATGACTGAATTAAAACAAAAACAGTGCCAGGAAACCCACTTCTGTTGGGGAAAAAAATCATATTTTATTGGTAAACAATGCTACCTATTTACAGGGATACTGTTACACCTGGATAGATGCACAACTTGTTTTTACCAGAAAAAAAGGCCAGACTCAGGATCCTGGGAAGCACTGAGGGCCACATATACATCTTGGGACAAAGGGCATATGGGCCAACCCTTATTTTAAAGGATGCAAACATCCCCATGGTCTCTATTGTATGAATCCCTGTGGAACAGCCCTTGCTTTCTTGTTTTCCTGATACCTTCAGGAAAATAAAGAGGAGAATTTTAGAAACCACAGAAGACAGACTGCCAGGAAGGAAACCAAGCACAAGTTCTGTTTCCTAGTTCAGTTCATATCCTGAAGGGCCAGGCTGGGGTAGCCAAACAGAATGCCAAAAGATAGCCCTCTGGAACTGAACCACAGCTTGGCTTTCCTTCACAACTTCTTATGGTTTTTCGCTCCCATATCCTTCAAGGCTCGGGAGCCTTACCTTCCAGGGTTGTTGTGAAGACAAGGGAATTATCTTGGGCAGTGGTTCTCAACCTGTGGGTCCCCAGATGTTTGAACCTTCAACTCCCAGAAATCCTAACAGCTAGTAAACTGGCTGGGATTTCTGGGAGTTGTAGGCCAAAACACCTGGGGACCCAAAAGTTGAGAACCACTGACCTAGGGAATCATAATAATCCTTTCATTTGAAAGACACATGTCTATCTTTGTTAGGCAATAAAGACTGATAATACTCACAGTGTATCTTACTGTGAGTGCTCACCCTTTACTGACACTAGAAAACAACTAGACATTTTGGAAAAAAATGGATTCTGATTACACTATGCAACAAAATTGGAAACCATTTTCTGTTCCTTACTTTGAAAATGTTATTTCCTGTTGAATTGTGCAGTCTTTACTTTGAAAGTAGTTGTTCTACTCCAGAAACGTTGCTGTTTTTGTGGCTGACAGGAGTACTATTATTGCTTTCAATCTAGGCCAGTGGTTACAAACCTGTGGTCCGTGGACTACCAGTGGTCCACAAGAACTAAAATATGGTCCACGACTTCACCATTACTACACCGTTTTAACAAGAGTTACTAGTCTCGAAAAACCCTTTTATAGTGACAAGGCTTATTAAATATGGTTTTCTGTGGACGAGCAGATGGCAACTAATGGATGGCATATGCTCTCTATCAGAAACTAGAGCTGATGTGGTCTATCCAATGCAATTTTCTGAATCAGCACCCCAAATAACCAATCCAAAACTAAAGTTGATCAAAAATGGATTTGTAACCCTTTTGGTACTAATGCTAGAGAGCGGTTCCTGGTTAAAAAGAAAAGATTGGGAACTACTGGTCTAGGCACTTGTTTTGTAATTTTCCTTCATGAAAATATGCCATTTTAAACCTTTCTGTGTGCAAAGTTTTTGCAGTTTGATAAACCTTTTCCTGTCTTTTTTTTATGATAGAACCAATTTGGGAATTAATATTTTGATCTCAGGAACAAAAGTTGTGTTATGTTGTGTTATTAGTAGGTAGGTTTTCTGCAGAGCAGGATAGGTAAGAAAGGTGTAAACTGGCCGTAAGTTTCACTCATTGCTGAGAAGAAGAGGGAAAGAGACATTGATCTGGAGCCTTCCTTTCTCTTTTTTTTTCCTTCCTGCTTTTTTCCTATGTACGCTCTGTAATGCCTTTGGGAATCTTCAGTAAAAACTCAGCGCCTCCCCCCCCCCAAAAAAAACCTATAGCATGATGGTTCTCAACCTGTAGCTCCCCCAGGTGTTTTGGCCCACAACTCCCAGAAATCCCAGCCAGTTTACCAGCTGTTAGGATTTCTGGGAGTTTCCAGATGTTTTGGCATTTCTGGGAATGCCAAAACATCTGGGGACCCACAGGTTGAGAACCATTGCTATAGCACATCTATATTATTTTTGCAAAGTAACATTTACACCTCACCATCCTGGAATCTCTCTTCATATACACCCTTCATATCTAAATACTTGATTTCCTTTTTGTGTCTAAAAGCATATACCCTTATGCCTTATGAACTCTGAAATGTTTACTTTTCCATATTTCCACTAAAAAAAACCCAAACATATCCACCCTTAGTGTTCCACACTTCGAGACTATTATGTTTTGGATGATTTTTTTTTGTGCTGTGTTTTAATTCCCTTTTAACGTTTGCATATTTGTACATTTTCAATTGTATCCTCAAGCTTTGCTGTCAAGCCATCCCCTTTGGAAGGATCAAGCGGGGTATAAATAAATCTAATCACAATTTCTTTGGATGTGTTTCCCCTCAGGAAAACAAAAAAAAAATCAACACCTTTCATATCTCAATATTCCGGACTCTTTCTTTGGACATGTTACCCCTTGGAAAAGAAGGCAGATGTCCTCAGAGATTTCTTTGGGGCGTGTCTCCCCCCAGAAGGCATATTATTCACCCTCCTTATCCAAAAATTCTGGAATGTTTTTGGCACATTGCCCTTCACAAAACATATATACCCTTAATATGATTTTGGATTCTTTTGGGAAAGTACTTTCCTCTTTCTTTTGGGGCACATTTCCCCTCAGAAATGCGTCTGTATACCCTGGATGTCTGACTTATCTGACACGTCTAGAATCTTTCCTTCGAGGGGTTTCCCCTCAGAAAAGGCAGGTATGTTTCAACATTTTTAACACATTTTCCCTCAAATAAAGGTCTCTCAAGCAGGCCTGGCCCAACTTGGGCTCTCCAGGATTTGGGGACTTCAACTCCCACAATTCCTAGCAACTTCAGGCCCCTTCCTTTTTCCTTTTGAAGTGTCCAACTCCTGGAGGGCCCAAGTTGGGCCAGGCTTGCTCTGAAGCCTTGGCCTCACCTGTAGGCCAGGGTCATGCACTCGAAGAGCTTGGTGAGCGAGGCGTCAATGCTGAGCCGCCCTCCGCCGCCGCCTCCTCCGCCGCCTCCCGGGCCTCCTCCGCCGGCTCCTCCGCCTCCGGGCCCGTCTCCCCCGCCGCCCTCCTCGCCCCCCGCCGCCGCCGCCGCCCCAAAGCGGTAGGTCTGGCAGGTTTGCTCGTTGACCGTGTCGAAGTCGTAGCCCTTCTTGGGCGGGTGCTCGCTGTGCGGCGAGGAGAGCATGAAGTGGCCCGAGTGGATGATCTGCGCCGGGCGCCCAGGCCTGCCCTCGCCGCCCGGGCTGCACCGCCGCGCCCCTCCACGCCGCCCTCGCCCGCGCCCCGCCGGGCAGCTCCCGGGCTCCTCCCCGCTGCTCTCCGAGGACGACGACGACGAGTCCTCCGCCACCAGCGGCGCCCGGCGGGACGAAGGGGCCGAGAGCAGGCGGAACCGGCCCGCCCGCGTGGACACCTCGGCCGCCATGGCAAACCACCGGGGAGGAAGGCAGCGAGCGCTGGCAGCACAGGCCTCTGCTCCTCAACACCGCCGCCTCTGTCTGAACAGCCAGGCCCGCCCCTGCCTCGCGTGGCGCCTTGGCCCCGCCCCCCAGGAAGCTCCCTGTGCTCCTCAGAGCGCACGCTCCGCCCCCCAAAAAAGCACACGCTGCTCCTCGGGGCGCACGCCCCGCCCCCAAGTCCCTCGCCCCGCCCCCAAGTCGCTTGCTCCTCAGGACTCACGCTCCGCCCCCAAGATCCTCGCCCTGACCCAAGATGGTCGCTCCACCCCAAGACGCTCGTCCCGCCCCCAAGATACTGGCTCCTCCCCCAGTAAGCACACCCCGCTTCTCAGGACGTTCTCAGGACAAAAATGGAGAGGCTGTCCTCTCCTGGCCTGAACTGCACAAACTCTCACTCATTCGTGATAGTAAGCTCCCACCATCCTACAACAGCGGGAGATGGCACCGAGGTTATAACCCAGACCTCTTATTTGTGAGCGACAGCATCGTACAGCAATGCACTAAATCAGTGGGACCACTGGTGTTGGAGGAAAGTTCTGAGAGTGCCTTGGACTGCGAGAAGATCCAACCAGTCCATCCTCCAGGAAATAAAGCCCGACTGCTCATTGGAGGGAAGGATACTAGAGACAAAGTTGAAGTACTTTGGCCACATCATGAGGAGACAGCAAAGCCTAGAGAAGACAATTATGCTGGGGAAAGTGGAAGGCAAAAGGAAGAGGGCCGACCAAGGGCAAGATGGATGGATGGCATCCTTGAAGTGACTGGACTGACCTTGAAGGAGCTGGGGGTGGTGACGGCCGACAGGGAGCTCTGGCGTGGACTGGTCCATGAGGTCACGAAGAGTCGGAGATGATTCGGACCCAGAGGATGTTAAAAATTATCGCCCTATATCGCTACTTAATGTAGACTACAAGATCTTTACTAGTATTCTAGCGGAAAGACTAAAAATAATATTGGAAACATATATTTATTTATTTATTTATAGACTTGTATACCGCTAATATCTCAGCCTAAGTCGGCGACTCATTGCGGTTTACAACAATTAAAAACAATACCAATTTAAAAACATGAAACACAATTACAATACAAATTATTGGGCCACCAATAATAATCCCATGCATCTCGTAACTAAAATCTCAATCCAAAATTCATCGTCCATGATTGCCAGTCCTTTAGTCATCAACATTCGGTTGCAACGTATTAGCCAAATGCTTGTTTAAACAACCATGTTTTCAATCTCTTCCGAAACACCATCAGCGAGGAGGCTGATCGTACCTCTAAAGGGAGGGTGTTCCAAAGCCGAGGGGCCACCACAGAAAAGGCCCTGTCTCTCGTTCCCGCCAGCCGCACTTGTGAAGCCGGCGGGATAGAGAGCAGGGCCTCCCCAGAAGATCTTAGGGTCCTGGTGGGCTGATAGGCCGAGATACGTTCGGATAGATAAGTTGGGCCAGAACCGTTTAGGGTTTTAAAGGCCAGCGCCAGCACTTTGAATTGGGCCCGGTAGCAAATCGGCAGCCAGTGGAGCTGGTGCAGCAGAGGAGTTGTATGCTCCCTGCGCCCCGCTCCTGTTAGTATCATGGCTGTTGGACCAGTTGGAGCTTCCGGGCTGTCTTCAAAGGCAACCCCACGTAGAGAGCGTTGCAGTAATCAAGGCGGGATGTAACCAGAGCGTGGACTACCGTGGCTAAGTCAGACTTCCCAAGGTACGGTCGCAGTTGGCGCACAAGCTTTAATTGTGCGAAAGCTCCCCTGGTCACCGCCGAAACCTGGGGTTCCAGGCTCAGCGATGAGTCCAGGATCACACCCAAACTGCGAACCTGCATCTTCAGGGGGAGTGCGACCCCGTCTAACACAGGCTGTAACCCTATACCCTGTTCGGCCTTACGACTAACCAGGAGTACCTCTGTCTTGTCTGGATTCAATTTCATTTGTTCGCCCCCATCCAGACCGTCACAGCGGCCAAGCACCGGTTCAGGACCTCGACAGCCTCCTTAGTAGCAGGTGGAAAGGAGTGACAGAGTTGAACATCATCTGCGTACAGATGACATCGCACTCCGAAACTCCGGATGATCTCGCCCAGCGGCTTCATGTAGATGTTAAACAACATGGGAGACAGTATTGAACCCTGAGGAACCCCACAAGACAAAGGTTGTGGGGTTGAACAGGAGTCTCCCAGTAACACCTTCTGAGACCGACCCTCGAGGAATGAGCGGAGCCACTGCAGAACAGTACCTCCAAGACCCATCCCCGCGAGGCGTCCCAGAAGGATACCGTGGTCGACGGTATCGAAGGCCGCTGAGAGGTCCAGCAGCACCAACAGGGACACACTCCCCCTGTCGAGCTCCCGACGCAGATCATCCACTAAGGCGACCAAGGCTGTCTCGGTACCATGTCCCGACCTAAAGCCAGACTGTGCCGGATCCAGATAATCCGTGTCTACCAAGAATGCCTGGAGTTGTGAGGCCACCACACGTTCCATGACTTTGCCCAAAAAGGGGAGATTGGAAACAGGCCGATAGTTGACGAAGAGGAAGAGGAAGACCAAGCGGGCTTCTTGCCTAACAGACAACAAAAAGATAATGTGAGAACAGTAATAGATTTGATCGAGTACTATGAAATTTACCACCAAAAGAAAGTAATGTTTATGGCCGTGGATGCCGAGAAGGCATTTGATAATGTCAATTGGGATTTTTTCAAATTTTTAATGAGGGAGATTGATATGGGGTATTATTTTCAAAATTCGGTGGAAGCAATTTATGAAGAACAAGAGGCCAAAATTATAATTAATGGACAGGAAACAGACAAGATCCAGATAGAAAAAGGAACCAGACAGGGCTGTCCCTTATCGCCATTAATATTTGTCTTATCACTAGAAGTACTGCTAAAAAGAATAAGAGAAGAGAAGGCCCTAGAAGGTGCTAGAATACAAGGATTAGACTACAAATACAAAGCGTTCGCCGACGATATAATTTGTATTATAGAGAACCCAAAAGAAAGAACAGGAAATTGGCTGGAAGAAATAAAAAACTATGGGGAAGTGGCAGGGTTTAAAATAAATTTGGAAAAAACAAAGGCAATAACAAAAAATATTGGGGAAAGGGAAAAGGAAGAGATACAAAAGAAATGGAATGTGCAGATTGTCCCAAAAATAAAATATTTAGGGATCCAGATAACAGCAAAAAATCTACATCTCTTACAAAATAATTATTTAAATAAATGGAGGGAAATTAAAGAGGATTTGGAAAAATGGAAAAAGTCAAATTTATCATTAATGGGAAGGATCGCTTCGATCAAGATGAAAGTCTTGCCAAAAATGATATTTCTATTTCAGAACTTGCCAATAATCAGGAACATGAATGTGATTAAAAAATGGAATATGGATATCTCCAAATTTATCTGGAACAATAAGAAACCAAGGATACATTATAAAAATTTAATAGAGCAAAAAGAAAAAGGTGGATTGGCTGCTCCGGATCTAAAAACATATTTTGAAGCTTGTGCCCTAACATGGGCCAGAGACTGGACCATGTTAAAGAAAAAGAAATTACTAACACTAGAGGGGATAGATTTAAGAGCAGGATGGCACCATTACATTTGGTATAAAGGGAAAGAAAAAGAAAAAAAATTCGGTAACCATTTCATAAGGTCTGCAATTTTAAAAGTGTGGGAGAAATATAGATTAAAACTGTATAATAAAACGCCAATCTGGGTATCGCCCTTGGAGGCGTCGCAAAGGAGGTGTCTGGGGTGGAATGACTGGCCTGTTTATAGAGAAATACTAAAAATTAAACAAGGAGAGATAGAAATAAAAGAACAACAAGAATTAGTCCTAATTGACAAAAATAAATCATGGCTCCAATACTGGCAAATTAAAGAAAAATTTAAGCTGGATAGGAAATTAGGATTTGCACAAGGAAACGAATTCTGGGATACCATCATGAAAACAGAAAGGAAATTAATAACCAAGTTATACAAAAAACTACTAGAATGGTACCTGGAACAAAATGAGGAGAAAAACTACATGAGAAGATGGAACGAAAATATACAAAGAAATATCAGAAAAGAAGAATGGAAGGAAATCTGGAGAAAAAGATTAAAGTTCGCATATGCAATAGAGCTCAGAGAAAACTGGGTAAAAATATCACAAAGGTGGTATTTGACACCAAAAAAATTAGGTAGAATATACAATAATACAAGCACTGCCTGCTGGAAATGTAGGAATAAAGAAGGGTCCTTTTTCCACGCATGGTGGATGTGTGACAAAGCGAGAAAATTTTGGAGGGGAATACATAAGGAAATTCAAACTATGTTGAAAATTCAATTGCCCTTGAAACCGGAGATCTTTCTGTTGGGGATGTATGATAGAAAACTGGAGGAAAATAAAGATAAAATACTATTTTTGATATTGACAGCAGCAAGGATGTGCTACGCCAAAGTATGGAGGCAAGAAGAGATCCCAGAGATAAATGATTGGATAACAAAAATACTGGATATAAGGAACTTAGACAAGCTAACCTTTCTACTGTTAAAGAATAAAGAAATCAAAAGGAAAGAAACGGATTGGAGTGACGTTACAGAATATCTAAAAAAGAAGAAAAAAGAAATAGTATTGTAAGAAATACAAAAATAGACTGAACTATGTTAAAAAGAGGGAAAGGAAAAAAAATATTTAAGAACATAAATAACAAGAAGACTGATGAGATTCTCTGAAGATACCAGGAGGTCAACTTTTAATTTTTTTCCCCCCTCTCTTTTTTTTTCTTTTTCTCTTTTTTTTCTTTTTCTCATTTATTTTCTTTTCCTTTCTTTCTTTCTTTATTCCTTTTTGTTATGTTTTATGAAAACTTCAATAAAGAATATTAAAAAAAAAGAGTCGGAGATGACTGAACGAATGAACAACAACAACACCAAATCCAAAGACCCGTCGCAAACTAGGTTCCTGCGGGAGAAAACCTTGCTAGCATGTCCCTGACGTCATGAGACTCCGCCTCTCTCCCCGCCCCTTTCTCCGCCCCTTTCTCCGTGCCAGCGTGGTTTTTCCTTTGCTAGGGCAGCATTGCCAGCGTACTCTCTCA